AGTAACAATCACCACTGACCTAGGAGCATTGGCACAGTACATGGTTCCATGGGTAACATCACACAGACCTAGGAGTCACTGGCCAGTGCCTGTGATGGTTCCCTGGGTAACATCACCACAGACTCAGGAGTCCTGGCCACGTGATGGTTCCGGTGTAATAACATAACCGACAGGACCATAGGAGTCCTGGCCAGTATTGGTTGCAATGTGATAACACATACACCACAGAACCTAGGAATTCCTGGCCAGTAATGTTTGCCTGGTATAACATCCAACCCACAGACCTAGGAGTCATGGCTAGTGATGGTTCCCTGGGTTACATAACACTGAACTAGGAGTCCCTGGCAGTAATGGTTCCCTGGGTAACATCACCACAGACATGGAGTCCTGGACAGTGATGGTCCCTGGGTATCATCACCTAACAGTCCTAGGAGGTCCTGGCCCAAGTTATGGTTCCTGGATAACTTCACCACAGACTTGAGTACCTGGACATTAATGGTGCCCAGGATAACATCACCACAGATAGGATAGTTCTGGCCAGTGATGGTTCCCTGGGTAACATCACCACAGACATACGGAAGTCTGGACTGTATTGGTGCCCTGGTAACATCACCACTGGAACTGAGGAGTCCTGGCCAGTAATGGTGACCTGGATAACTTCACCACGACCTAGGAGTCCTGGCCCAGTAATGTTCCCCTGGATAAACAATCTCACACTGACTAGGAGTCACTGGCCGTGATATGGTGCCCTGGGTAACATCACCACCAGACCTAGGAGTTGGCTCAGTGATGGTTCCTGGTAACATCTCCACAGACCTAGGAGTCCGGGCCAGTGATGGTTGCCATGGGTAACATCTCCACAGACTAGGGAGTACTTGCCAGTGATGCGTTTCCCTGGGTAACATCAACCTCAGGTCTAGGAGTCCTGGCCTAGTAATGGTGTGCCCTGGATAACTTCACCAAAGACCTAGGAGTACTGGCCAGTAATGGTTCCCTGGGTAACATTCTACCACAGCCTAGGAGTCCTGGGCAGTGATGGTTCCCTTGCTGTAACTTCACCACAGAATAGGAGTCCTGGCAAGTGGATGGTTCCCTGGGGTAACATCACCACAGACTAGGTGTACTAGACAGTGAGGTGCCCTGGGTTACATCATCCACAGACCTAGGAAAAGTTCCTGGCCAGTGATGGTGCCCTGGATACACATCATCCATGATCTGGAGTCTGGCCAGTGATGGTTCCCTGGATAAAAATCACCACAGACTAGGTGTCTTGGCCAGTTAATGGTTCCCTGGATAACATCACAACAGCCTAGGTGTCCTGGATAGTAATGGTTCACTGGGATAACATCACACAGACTAGGAGTTCATGGGCCATTAATGGTCCACTCGGGTAAATTACACACAGGACCTAGGGTCCTGGCCAGTAATGGTTCCCCTGGAATAACTCACCACAGGAACTAGAGTCCTGGCCAGTAATGGTTCCCTGGATAACATCACACAGACATAGGAGTCATGGCTAGTTAATGGTTCTGGATAACATCACACAGACCTAGGAGGTCCTTGCAAGTTAATGGTTCCTCTGGATAAAATTCACCTCAGACTTAGGATTCCTGGCCTGTTAATCGGGTTTCCCTGGTAACATCAACCACAGACCTAGGTGTCCTGGGCCAGTAATTGGTTCCCTGGATAACATCACCACTGGACCTAGGAGTCCTGGCCAGTATTGAGTCCCTGGGTAACATCACCTCAGGACTACGGAGTCCTGGCCAGTAAGGGTTCCCGTGGTAACATCACAACAGACTTTAGGAAAGTCCTGGCCAGTATGGTTCCCTGGGTAACTTCACCCACAAGTACCTAGGAAGTACTGGCCAGTTATGGTTCCCTGGATACCATCACCACAGAACTAGGGATCCTGGGCCAGTAATGGTTCCCTGGGTAAACATCTCCACGGACTAGGACGTCCTGGCCAGTATGGTTCTGGATAACATCACAAGGTCCTAGGAGTCCTGGCTAGTAATGGTTCATGGATAAAATCACCACAGACCTAGGACGTCCTGGCCAGTATGGTTCCTGGGTAACATCACCACTGCCCTAGGTGTCCTGGCCAGTAATGGTTCCATGGGTAACATCTCACAGACCTAGGAAGTCCCTGGCAGTAATGGTTGCCCTGGATAAACATCCACCACAGACCTAGGTGTCCTGGCCAGTAAGGGATTGCCCATCGGTTAAACATCACCACAGACCCTAGGAGTCCTGGCTAGTGATGGTTCCTGTGGTAACATCAACACAGACCTAGGAGTCCTGGCCAGTAATGGTTCCCTGGGGTAACATCACCACAGACTTGGGGTCCTGGCCAGTGAAGGTTACATGGGTCAACATCCACACAGTCCTAGGAGTCCTGGCAGTAATGGTGCCCTGGATATCTACACCACAGACCTAGGAGTCCTGGCCAGTAATGGTGCCCAGGATAACATCACCACAGCACCTTGGGGCAGTCTGGCACAGTAATGGTTTCCCTGGTAACATCCACCACAGACCTAGGAGTCTGGACAGTAATGGTTTCCCTGGGTAACATCACCCACAGACCTAGGAGTCCTGGGCCAGTAAGGGTTCGCCCTGAGATAACATCACCACAGACATTGGAGTCTGGCCAGTAATGGTGCCTGATAAACTTCCCCCACAGACCTTGGAGTCTGGCTAGTGAAGGTTCCCTGGGTAACATCACCACAGACCTAGGAGTCCTGGCAGAATGGTTCCTGGGTTACAATCAACCACAGACCTAGGAGTCCTGGCCAGTGGATGGGGTCCCTGGGTAACATTAACCACCAGTACTAGGCAGTCCTGGCCAGTAATGGTGCCCTGGATAACATCACCACAGACCTAGGAGTCCTGGCCAGTAATGGTGCCCTGGATAACATCACCACAGACCTAGGAGTCCTGGCCAGTGATGGTTCCCTGGGTAACATCACCACAGACCTAGGAGTCCTGGCCAGTAATGGTGCCCTGGGTAACATCACCACAGACCTAGGAGTCCTGGCCAGTAATGGTTCCCTGGATAACATCACCACAGACCTAGGAGTCCTGGCCAGTAATGGTTCCCTGGATAAAATCACCCACAGATACCTAGAGAGTCCTGGGCCAGTGATGGTGCCCTGGGTGACATCACCACAGCAACCTAGGAGTCCTGGCCAGTAATGGTTCCCTGGATAACATCACCACAGACCTAGGAGTCCTGGCCAGTGATGGTGCCCTGGATAACATCACCACAGACCTAGGAGTCCTGGCCAGTGATGGTTCCCTGGGTAACATCACCACAGACCTAGGAGTCCTGGCCAGTAATGGTGCCCTGGATAACATCACCACAGACCTAGGAGTCCTGGCCAGTAATGGTTCCCTGGGTAACATCACCACAGACTAGGAAGTCCTGGCAGTGTTGGTTCCACTGGGTAACATCACAACAGACCTAGGAGTCATGGCAGTGATGGTTCCTGGGTAACAATCACCAACAGACCTAGGGAGTCCTGGCCAGTGATGGGGCACTGGGTAAAACATCACCACAGACCTAGGAGTCCTGGCCAGTTGATGAGTCCCTGGATAACATTCACCACAAGGACTAGGTGTCCTGGCCAGGTCATGGTTCCCTGGATATCATCACCACAGGACCTAGGAGAGTCCTGGCCAGTAATGGTTCCTGGATAACATCACCACTGAATAGGAGTAATGGCTAGCTAATGGTTCCCATGGATAACATCACCACAGACCTAGGAGTCCTGGCCAGTAATGGTTCCCTGGATAACATCACCACAGACCTAGGAGTCCTGGCCAGTAATGGTTCCTGGTAACATACCACAGGACCCTAGGAGTCCTGGCAGTAATGGTTCCCTGGATAACATCACCACAGACCTAGGAGTCCTGGCTAGTAATGGTTCCCTGGATAACATCACCACAGACCTAGGAGTCCTGGCCAGTAATGGTTCCCTGGATAACATCACCACAGACCTAGGAGTCCTGGCCAGTAATGGTTCCCTGGAATAACATAACACAACCTAGGGAGTCCTGGCCGTAATGCGTACCTGGATAACATCACCACAGACCTAGGAGTCCTGGCAGTAATGGTTCCCTGGGTACATCTCTCCACAGACCTAGGAGGTTCCTGGCCAGTAATGGTTTCCCTTGGTACATCACCACAGACCTATGAGTCTGCCAGTAATGGTTCCCTGGGTAACATCACCACAGACCTAGGAGTCCTGGCCAGTAATGGTTCCCTGGATAACATCACCACAGACCTAGGAGTCCTGGCCAGTAATGGTTCCCTGGATAACATCACCACAGACCTAGGAGTCCTCGGCCAGTAATTGTTCCTGGAATTAAAGATCACCACAGACCTAGGAGTCCTGGCTAGTAATGGTTCCCTGGATGGATAACATCACCCCAGGACCTAGGATGTCCTGGCCAAGTATGGTTCCCTGGCGTAACATCACCACAGACTAGGAAGTCCTGGCCCAGTATGGTTCCTGGATAACATCACCACCGACCTTAGGAGTCCTGGCCAGTAATGGTTCCCTGAGATAACATCACCACAGACCTAGGAAGTCCTGGCTAGTAAGGTTCCACCCTTGGGTCGGTAAACATCCTACAGAGGAATAGGAGTCCAGGCCAGTAATGTTCCTGGATAACATCACACAGATAGGAGTTCCTGGCCAGTGAGTCCTGGAGAAAATCACCACAGGACTAGGAGTCCTGGCCAGTTAATTGGTTCCCTGGATAACATCACCACCGACCCACCAACACACAACTTAAATACACAAGAAACTTTACCTGTCTATCAACACCAGTTCGACACGTGCGTCTAAAGGGATAATGTAGAAGTGCAAACACTCGAGAGTCTACGTCACAGTTCCTTTGTAGCTGGCGGTGGAGTCTACATTACAAGAGGTGAGTCTATCTTGTTAGACTCTGTCAGCAGGAGACGGTGCCACTGCAGGACGGACGACAGGTTGTTATGATCGAGGTGTCGGTGACACGCTGATCTCAGCAACTAAGAAGTATATATGGAAAAGTAATCAGATATTGGACTAGTACAATGCGTGTACACTGACCAGTATCCTTCACTCAGTGTACACCAGAGTTCAGTCTGATCAGTGTTTTAGGTATTATTCTTGACCGGTGGTGTACAGGTGACATGCAGCCTTAATGACCCTCGTGTAGTAGATAGACTTTAAAACTCCATAAAACCACCAAACCAGTCTTAATGACCCTGGCTGTAGTAGATAGACTTTTAACCCCATTAACCAACCAACCAGTCTTAATGACCCTGGTGTAGTAGATAGACTTTAAACCCCATTAACCAACCAACCAGTCTTAATGACCCTGTGCAGTAGATAGACTTTTACCCCATTAAACAACCAACCAGTCTGAATGACCTTGTGTAGTAGATTAGACTTTAAAAACCCATTAACCAACCAAACCAGTCCTTAATGGCCCTGGTGTAGTAGATAGACTGTAAACCCCTTAACATACAACCTGTCTTAATGACCCTGGTGTAGTAGTGTAGTAGATAGAGTTTTTTAATCCCAATTAACCAGCCCAACCAGTCTTAATGACCCTGGTGTAGTAGATAGTACTTTAAACCCCATTAAACAACCAACCAGTCTTATGACCCTGGTGTAGTAGAATAGACTTTAACCCCATTAACATCCAACAGTCTTAATGACACTGGTGCAGTAGATAGACTTTAAACCCCATTAACCAACCAACCAGTCTTAATGACCCTTGTGTAGTAGATAGAGTGTATGAGGTAAGTGCGCTACCAACCCAGCCAGGTTGTGTTGCTTGGCAGACAGGTGTGTGAGGGAGGTCACATCTGTTTGTTGCTGGTGTAGTGTTCTGATAGACGTGTTTGTGTTGCTGGTGTAGTGTTCTGATAGACGTGTTTGTGTTGCTGGTGTAGTGTTCTGATAGACGTGTTTGTGTTGCTGGTGTAGTGTTCTGATAGACGTGTTTGTGTTGCTGGTTGTGTGTTCTGATAGCGTGTTGTGTTGCTGGTTTGTAGTGTTCGATAGAGTGTTTGTGTTGCTGGTGTGTGTTCTGATAGACGTGTTTGTGTGATGGTGTAGTTTCTGATAAGACGGTTTCGTGTTGCTGGTGTTGTGTTCTGATAGAACGTGTTTGTGTTGCTCGGTTGTAGTGTTCTGATAGGACGTGTTTGTGTTGCTGGTTGTGTAGTGTTCTGATTAGACGTGTTTGTGGTTGCTGGTTGTAGTGTTCTGATAGACGTGGTTTGTGTTGCTGGTGTGTTGGAGTGTTTGTTTGGCAGTGTTTGTGTTGCTGGTGTAGTGTTCTGATAGAGTGTTTGTGTTGCGGGTGTAGTGTTCTATAGACGTGTTTGTGTTGCTGGTGGTAGTGTTATGTTAGGACGGTTTGTGTTGCTGGTGTAGTGTGTTGATTGGACGTTGTTTGTGTTGCTGGTGTAGTGTTCTGATTAGGTCGTGTTTGTGTTGCTTGGGGTAGTGTTCTGTTTGGTACGTGGTTGTGTTGCTGGTGTAGTGTTCTGATTGGCGGGCTTTGGGTTGATGGTAGGGTGGGTCGGTTAGAGTGTTGGGGTGCTGGTGTTGTGTTCTGAGTGAAGTGTTTGTGTTGAGAGGTGTTGTGTTGAGGTTTGTAGGGTTGTTTGTGGTGGCTGCGTGTATAGTGTTCTGATTGACGTGTTTGTGTCTATTGGTGTTTGTATAACCTATTTGTGGATTGCTGGGGTCGAGTCATTAGATCATGGCCCCGCCTCTTTCCCCAAACTGATTGTATAGGTCTATCTCTCCCTTGCCCCACTGAGCTTCTATCAATACCTAGCCTTAAAATATGTATGGTTCCCGCCTCCACTACGTCACTTTCTAGGCTATTCCATGGCCTGACTACTCTATGACTGAAGAAATACTTCCTAACATCCCTTTGATTCATCTGAGTCTTCAACTTCCAATTGTGACCTCTTGTGTCTGTGTCCCGTCTCTGGAACATCCCGTCTTTGTCCACCTCGTCTATTCCGCGCAGTATTTTATATGTCGTTATCATGTCTCCCCTGACCCTCCTGTCCTCCAGTGTCGTCAGGCCGATTTCCCTCAACCTTTCTTCGTAGGACAATCCCCGTAGCTCTGGGACTAGTCTTGTTGCAAACCTTTGCACTTTCTCTAATTTCTTGACGTGCTTGACTACGTGTGGATTCCACACTGGTGCTGCATACTCCAGTATGGGCCTGACGTAGATGGTATACAGAATCTTAAACGAATCCTTACTGAGGTATCGGAACGCTATCCGTAGGTTTGCCAGGCGCCCGTATGCTGCAGCAGTTATCTGATTGATGTGCGCCTCAGGAGATATGCTCGGTGTTATACTCACCCCCAGATCTTTTTCCTTGAGTGAGGTTTGCAGTCTTTGGCCATCTAAACTATATTGTGTCTGCGGTCTTCTTTGCCCTTCCCCAATCTTCATGACTTTGCATTTGGCAGGGTTAAATTCAAGGAGCCAGTTGCTGGACCAGGCTTGTAGCCTGTCCAGGTCTCTTTGTAGTCCTGCCTGCCTGATCCTCGTCCGATTTGATTCTTCTCATTAACTTCACATCATCTGCAAACAAGGACACTTCTGAGTCTATCCCTTCCGTTATGTCGTTCACATATACCAAGAACAGCACAGGTCCTAGGACTGACCCCTGTGGAACCCCGCTTGTCACAAGCGCCCACTCTGACACCTCGTCACGTACCATGACTCGTTGTTGCCTCCCTGTCATGTATTCTCTGATCCATTGCAGTGCCTTTCCTGTTATGTGTGCCTGGTCCTCTAGCTTTTGCAGTAACCTCTTGTGAGGAATTGTGTCGAAGGCCTTCTTGCAGTCCAAAAATATGCAGTCGATCCACCCCTCTCTCTTGTCTTACTTCTGTCACCTTGTCATAAAACTCTAGTAGGTTTGTGACACAGGATTTTCCTTCCCTGAAACCGTGCTGGTTGTCAATTATACACTTGTTTCTTTCCAGGTGCCCCACCACTCTCCTCCTGATGATCTTCTCCATGACCTTGCATACTATACACGTTAGTGATACAGGTCTGTAGTTTAGTGCCTCATGTCTGTTTCCCTTTTTAAAAATTGGGACTACATTTGCCATCTTCCATACCTCAGGGAGTTGCCCAGTTTCAAATGATGCGTTGAAGATCTTTGTTAATGGCTCACACAATATCTCTGCTCCCTCTTTAAGGACCCATGGAGAGATGTCTGGTCCCACCGCCTTTGAGGTGTCAAGTTCGCATAGCAGCTTCTTCACCTCCTCCTCGGTTATATGTACCTCATCCAGCACTTGCTGGTGTACCCCCCTGTTCTGATTTCTTGGAGTCCTACTGGTTTCCACTGTAAATACCTCTTTAAATCTTGTGTTGAGCTCCTGACATACCTCTCGGTCGTTTCTTGTGAATTCCCCATCACCCTTCCTCAGTCTGATTAGGTGTGTGTACTCACCTAGGTGTGTGTACTCATCTAGGTGTGTGTACTCACCTAGGTGTGGTTATAAGGGTCGATTCATAGCTCCTGGCCCCGCCTCTTCACTGGCCGCTACTCTGGCACTGTATATATGTGTGTGTGTGTGTGAGAGAGAGAGAGAGAGAGAGAGAGAGAGAGAGAGAGTACTCACGTATTTGTGGTTGCAGACTTACAAGACTTACCTGACTTAAGACTTACCTGACTTAAGACTTACCAGACTTACCTGACTTACCAGACTTACCTGAGTTAATATCGTAATAGATCTTGGAGTAGTAGTGATCATTGTTGATGAATCTCACACTAAAGGCCAGATAGATAGTAACATCAGCCCTGGGTGACCTCAGGTCGTTGGGCATACTGTAGGGTGACCTCAGGTCACTCACACACACGCGGTCATTATAACAGGCACTGTTGACACTGTTCACTTGCTGAAACACAGTAAACACGAATATATAGACCACAGTAATGACAGCAATCGGATAATACTGTACAGTATATAGCAGGTAGGCAAGTAAGACACATATGTGTAACACCTATGTATCTCTAGTGTCACCAGTAGAGACACTTAAGTGTCTCACAAATGTCTTATCCAAGACTTTGCAATTTATGTATCAAGGGATTACCAACAGACCCCTGGCAGTCTTCAAGTGTCAGGGGCCCGAGACTGTTCAACTGCCTCCCAGCATACATAAGGGGGATTACCAACAGACCCCTGGCAGTCTTCAAGTGTCAGGGCCCGAGACTGTTCAACTGCCTCCCAGCATACATAAGGGGGATTACCAACAGACCCCTGGCAGTCTTCAAGTGTCAGGGGCCCGAGACTGTTCAACTGCCTCCCAGCATACATAAGGGGGATTACCAACAGACCCCTGGCAGTCTTCAAGTGTCAGGGGCCCGAGACTGTTCAACTGCCTCCCAGCATACATAAGGGGGATTACCAACAGACCCCTGGCAGTCTTCAAGTGTCAGGGCCCGAGACTGTTCAACTGCCTCCCAGCACACATAAGGGGGATTACCAACAGACCCCTGGCAGTCTTCAAGTGTCAGGGGCCCGAGACTGTTCAACTGCCTCCCAGCACACATAAGGGGGATTACCAACAGACCCCTGGCAGTCTTCAAGTGTCAGGGGCCCGAGACTGTTCAACTGCCTCCCAGCACACATAAGGGGGATTACCAACAGACCCCTGGCAGTCTTCAAGTGTCAGGGGCCCGAGACTGTTCAACTGCCTCCCAGCACACATAAGGGGGATTACCAACAGACCCCTGGCAGTCTTCAAGTGTCAGGGGCCCGAGACTGTTCAACTGCCTCCCAGCACACATAAGGGGGATTACCAACAGACCCCTGGCAGTCTTCAAGTGTCAGGGGCCCGAGACTGTTCAACTGCCTCCCAGCACACATAAGGGGGATTACCAACAGACCCCTGGCAGTCTTCAAGCTGGCACTGGACAAGCACCTAAAGTCAGTTCCTGATCAGCCGGGCTGTGGCTCGTACGTTGGTTTGCGTGCAGCCAGCAGCAACAGCCTGGTTGATCAGGCGCTGATCCACCAGGAGGCCTGGTCACAGACCGGGCCGCGGGGGCGTTGACCCCCGAAACTCTCTCCAGGTAAACTCCAGGTAAACAAAATGGATATATCCTATGATTGAGGATGACCTACCTAGCGTGGGCCAGTCTCTTAGGTCATATCCACATGTGGAATTAATGTGGCAGTTTACTGTGGCAACGTTTCGCCCTTCAGGACCTTTGTCAGGCCATTAATACTATTACTCCTACTACGTGTTTAGAGTGGTCGTTAACTATCAACTACTGGTACAATTGGTACAATGTTGTTAGCACTCACAACTGCAGGTGGAACAACACTGATAGTACTCACACGACCAGCTGGAACAACAGTAATACTCACACGACCAGCTGATAGTACTCACACGACCAGCTGATAGTACTTACACAACCAGCTGGAACAATAATAGTACTCACACGACCAGCTGGAACAACAGTAATACACGACCAGCTGATAGTACTCACACGACCAGCTGATAGTACTTACACAACCAGCTGGAACAATAATAGTACTCACACGACCAGCTGGAACAACAGTAATACACGACCAGCTGATAGTACTCACACGACCAGCTGATAGTACTTACACAACCAGCTGGAACAATAATAGTACTCACACGACCAGCTGGAACAACAGTAATACACGACCAGCTGATAGTACTCACACGACCAGCTGATAGTACTTACACAACCAGCTGGAACAATAATAGTACTCACACGACCAGCTGGAACAACAGTAATACACGACCAGCTGATAGTACTCACACGACCAGCTGATAGTACTTACACAACCAGCTGGAACAATAATAGTACTCACACGACCAGCTGGAACAACAGTAATACACGACCAGCTGATAGTACTCACACGACCAGCTGATAGTACTTACACAACCAGCTGGAACAATAATAGTACTCACACGACCAGCTGGAACAACAGTAATACACGACCAGCTGATAGTACTCACACGACCAGCTGATAGTACTTACACAACCAGCTGGAACAATAATAGTACTCACACGACCAGCTGGAACAACAGTAATACACGACCAGCTGATAGTACTCACACGACCAGCTGATAGTACTTACACAACCAGCTGGAACAATAATAGTACTCACACGACCAGCTGGAACAACAGTAATACACGACCAGCTGATAGTACTCACACGACCAGCTGATAGTACTTACACAACTAGCTGGAACAATAATAGTACTCACACGACCAGCTGGAACAACAGTAATACACGACCAGCTGATAGTACTCACACGACCAGCTGATAGTACTTACACAACCAGCTGGAACAATAATAGTACTCACACGACCAGCTGGAACAACAGTAATACACGACCAGCTGATAGTACTCACACGACCAGCTGATAGTACTTACACAACCAGCTGGAACAATAATAGTACTCACACGACCAGCTGATAGTACTTACACAACTAGCTGGAACAATAATAGTACTCACACGACCAGCTGGAACAACAGTAATACTCACACGACCAGCTGGAACAACAGTAATACTCACACGACCAGCTGGAACAACAGTAATACACGACCAGCTGGAACAACAGTAATACTCACACGACCAGCTGATAGTACTCACACGACCAGCTGGAACAATAACAGTACTCACACGACCAGCTGGAACAATAACAGTACTCACACGACCAGCTGGAACAATAACAGTACTCACACGACCAGCTGGAACAATAACAGTACTCACACGACCAGCTGGAACAATAACAGTACTCACACGACCAGCTGGAGGAACTTCAGAGTACTCTGGTCTGGGCGACAAGTTACTTCTCAGTCTGGCAGCATCAACATGTTTTCGTCTGGTATAATACGTGTTCGTCAAGAGTGGAACTTGATTCTCGTACTCCAGGACAGCAAATTGATGTACTCTGTTATCTGCACAGTCAATTCCACCCATAAAGCTCATCCAGAAAGCTCCAGATTTGCTGGAATGAGCACTGATTACAAAGTCCCATCTCTCGCCTGGAATGTACGAGGGATAACTAAATTAATCTCGTTATTCTTCTGTTTTAGACAACGTTATTTTACCAAGGCTGTTAAACTTTTGTTAAAAGCAAGGACGGTACGTAGTTAATGTTAATACAGAATATAATACGTAACAAGAGTCATAACAGCATTCTTTCTTAGTCGAAAGATTAGAGAGGTACATAATGGGTCCAGGGACTGTACCTCAACATTGCAGAGGTACATAATGGTACCTGGTACACGACTGGTACCTGGAGTATACCTGAACCAGTACCAGTCTAGTACCAGTACTAGACTGGGTTTGACATTAACTATATTCGTAGACGCAAAAACACACTAATCCCTTACCTGAGATCGTTAGCACTAACCTGAGTAAATAACGAAAGATTTCACTTCAATAGGCACTATAGGCCTACCATCTGTTGCAATGAGAGTGAGTTTGTGTTGCTCGATGGAGATTGTGATGGGACAACTGAGCACTGCGTTACTGATTACTCTCATGCGATACCTGTTACCTGTTGAACACAAGAATAGCAGTGAGGGATGTATGGTAGCTGTTGTCTGTTGAACACAAGAATAGCAGTGAGGGATGTATGGTAACTGTTGTCTGTTGAACACAACAACAGTGAGGGATGTATGGTAGCTGTTGTCTGTTGAACACAAGAATAGCAGTGAGGGATGTATGGTAACTGTTGTCTGTTGAACACAAGAATAGCAGTGAGGGATGTATGGTAACTGTTGTCTGTTGAACACAACAACAGTGAGGGATGTATGGTAACTGTTGTCTGTTGAACACAACAACAGTGAGGGATGTATGGTAACTGTTGTCTGTTGAACACAACAGTGAGGGATGTATGGTAGCTGTTGTCTGTTGAACACAACAACAGTGAGGGATGTATGGTAACTGTTGTCTGTTGAACACAACAACAGTGAGGGATGTATGGTAACTGTTGTCTGTTGAACACAACAACAGTGAGGGATGTATGGTAACTGTTGTCTGTTGAACACAACAACAGTGAGGGATGTATGGTAACTGTTGTCTGTTGAACACAACAGTGAGGGATGTATGGTAGCTGTTGTCTGTTGAACACAACAGTGAGGGATGTATGGTAACTGTTGTCTGTTGAACACAACAGTGAGGGATGTATGGTAGCTGTTGTCTGTTGAACACAACAGTGAGGGATGTATGGTAACTGTTGTCTGTTGAACACAACAACAGTGAGGGATGTATGGTAACTGTTGTCTGTTGAACACAACAGTGAGGGATGTATGGTAACTGTTGTCTGTTGAACCAAAAAAATAAACAGGAAGAAGCATACAATATTTGTTGTCTGTTGAACACTAACAGTTAACAGTAAGAATCAAACAGTATCTGATCAAGGCACATCACTCGCCCATCAGAAACCATTCTGAGTGTCACAATCACTGAGGGTCACAATCACTGAGGGTCACAATCACTGAGTGTCACAATCACTGAGGGTCACAATCACTGAGTGTCACAATCACTGAGGGTCACAATCACTGTCACAGTCACTGTCACAATCACTGAGTGTCACAATCACTGTCACAGTCACTGTCACAATCACTGTCACAGTCACTGTCACAATCACTGAGTGTCACAATCAGTGTCACAGTCACTGTCACAATCACTGAGTGTCACAATCAGTGTCACCGTCACTGTCACAATCACTGTCACAGTCACTGTCACAATCACTGAGTGTCACAATCAGTGTCACAGTCTCTGTCACAATCACTGAGTGTCACAATCACTGTCACAGTCACTGTCACAATCACTGTCACAGTCACTGTCACAATCACTGAGTGTCACAATCACTGTCACAGTCACTGTCACAATCACTGAGTGTCACAATCACTGTCACAGTCACTGTCACAATCACTGAGTGTCACAATCACTGTCACAGTCACTGTCACAATCACTGAGTGTCACAATCAGTGTCACAGTCACTGTCACAATCACTGAGTGTCACAACCACTCACTGAGTGATTTCACTGGGTGACTTCAACCACAGGGAGATCAACTGGGAAAACCTGGAGCCACATGGGGGACCCGAACATGGAGATCCAAGATGATGGATGTGGTACTGGAAAACCTCATGCATCAACACGTCAGGGACACTACCAGAGAGAGAGAGGAGGATAAACCAGCAAGACTGGACCTCGTGCTCACCCTGAGTAGCTCAGACATTGAACACATCACATATGAGAGGTCCCTTGGATCTGATGATCACGTGGTTCTGTGCTTTGAATACATAGTAGAGCTGCAAGTGGAGAGGGTAACAGGAGTTGAATTGGAAAAGCCAAACTATAAAAGGGGGAACTACACAGTTATGAGGAACTTCCTGCAGGAGGTTCAGTGGGACAAAGAATTGGTAGGAAAGTCAGTAAACGAAATGGTGGAATATGTAACAACAAAATGCAAGGAGGCAGAGGAAGGGTTTGTTCCCAAGGGCAACAGAAATAATGGGGAGACCAGAACGAGCCCTTGATTTACCCGAAGGTGTAGGGAGGCAAAAACTAAGTGTGCTAGAGAATGGAAAAACTACAGAAGGCAAAGGACCCAGAAAAATAAGGAGATTAGTCGAAGAGCCAGAAACGAGTATGCACAGATAAGGAGTGAGACCCAGAGACAGTACGAAAACAACATAGTATCGAAAGTCAAGTCTGACCCGAAACTGCTGTATAGCCACATTAGGAGGAAGGCAACAGTCAAAGACCGGGTGATCAGGCTGAGGAAAGAAGGTGAGGAACTCACAAGAAATGATCAAGAGGTATGTGAGGAGCTCAACACGAGATTTAAGGAAGTATTTACAGTGGAGACAGGAAGGCCTCTGGGAAGACAGAACAGATGGGGACACCAACAAGTAATATACCAACAAGTGTTGGATGACATACAACCAAGGAGGAGGTGAAGAAGCTGCTAAGTGACCTTGATACCTCAAAGGCGGTGGGACCGGACATCTCCCCGTGGGTCCTTAGAGAGGGAGCAGAGATGCTGTGTGTGCCACTAACCACAATCTTCAACACATCCCTTGAAACTGGGCAACTACCTGAGAAATGGAAGACAGCTAATGTAGTTCCCATTTTAAGAAGACAGAAACGAGGTACTAAACTATAGACCTGTGTCACTGACGTGTATAGTATGCAAAGTCATGGAGAAGATTATCAGGAGGAGAGTGGTGGAGCACCTGGAATGGAACAAGATTATGAACAACAACCAGCACGGATTCATAGAAGGAAAATCCTATGTCACAAACCTTCTGGAGTTTTATAACAAGGTAACAGAAGTAAGACACGAGAGAGGGGTGGGTTGATTGCATTTTCTTGGACGGCAAGAAGGCCTTCGACACAGTTCCTCACAAGAGATTAGTACAGAAGCTAGAGGATCAGGCACATATAGTAGGAAGGGCACTGCAATGGATCAGAGAATACCTGACAGGGAGGCAACAGTGAGTCATGGTACGTGATGAGGTATCACAGTGGGCGCCTGTGACGAGCGGGGTTCCACAGGGGTCAGTCCTAGGACCAGTGCTGTTCTTGGTATATGTGAATGACATGACGGAAGGGATAGACTGAGAAGTGTTCCTGTTTGCAGACAATGTGAACTTAATGAGAAGAATTAAATCAGATGAGGATCAGGCAGGAGTCCAAAGAGACCTGGACAGGCTGGACACCTGGTCCAGCAATTGGCTACTCGAATTTAACCCGACCAAATGCAAAGTCATGAAGATCAGGGAAGGACAAAGAAGACCGCAGACAGAGTATAGGCTAGATGGCCAAAGACTGGAAACCTCACTCAAGGAGAAAGATCTTGGGGTGAGTATAATACCGAGCATATCTCCTGAAGCACACATCAACCAGATAACTGCTGTAGCATATGGGCGCCTAGCAAACCTAAGAATAGCGTTCCGATACCTCAGAAAGGAATCGTTCAAGACACTGTACACCGTGTACGTCAGGCCCATACTGGAGTATGCAGCAACAGCCTGGAACCCACACCTGGTCATGCACGTCAAGAAATTAGAGAAAGTGCAAAGGTTTGCAGCAAGGTTAGTTCCAGAGCTCAGGGAATGTCAAACGAAGAAAGGTTAAGGGAAATCGGCCTGACGACACTGGAGGACAGGAGGTTTAAAAGAGACATGATAACGACATACAAAATATTGCGAGGAATAGATGAGGTGGACAGAGACAGGATGTTCCAGAGATGGGACACAGAAACAAGGGGTCGCAATTGGAGGTTGAAGACTCAGATGAGTCACAGGGATGTTAGGAAGTATTTCTTCAGCCACAGAGTTATCAGGAAGTGGAATAGTCTGGCAAGTGATGTAGTGGAGGCAGGAACCATACATAGTTTTAAGACGAGGTATGACAAAGCTCAGGAAGCAGGGAGAGAGAGGACCTAGTAGCACTCAGTGAAGAGGCGGGGCCAGGAGCTGAGTCTCGACCCCTGCAACCACAAATAGGCGAGTACAAATAGCTGAGTACAATCACTCACTGAGTCCAGATGAATTTAAAGTTCCAGTTAAAAACAGAGACTACTATTAGAGGAGTCACTGTGACCCACGACTCACCTGGAGTCACTGTGACCCACGACTCACCTGGAGTCACTGTAACCCACGACTCACCTGGAGTCACTGTAACCCACGACTCACCTGGAGTCACTGTGACCCACGACTCACCTGGAGTCACTGTGACCCACGACTCACCTGGAGTCACTGTGACCCACGACTCACCTGGAGTCACTGTGACCCACGACTCACCTGGAGTCACTGTGACCCACGACTCACCTGGAGTCACTGTGACCCACGACTCACCTGGAGTCACTGTGACCCACGACTCACCTGGAGTCACTGTGACCCACGACTCACCTGGAGTCACTGTGACTCACGACTCACCTGGAGTCACTGTGACCCACGACTCACCTGGAGTCACTGTGACTCACGATTCACCTGGAGTCACTGTGACTCACGACTCACCTGGAGTCACTGTGACCCACGACTCACCTGGAGTCACTGTGACCCACGACTCACCTGGAGTCACTGTGACCCACGACTCACCTGGAGTCACTGTGACCCACGACTCACCTGGAGTCACTGTGACCCACGACTCACCTGGAGTCACTGTGACCCACGACTCACCTGGAGTCACTGTGACTCACGACTCACCTGGAGTCACTGTGACCCACGACTCACCTGGAGTCACTGTAACCCACGACTCACCTGGAGTCACTGTGACCCACGACTCACCTGGAGTCACTGTAACCCACGACTCACCTGGAGTCACTGTAACCCACGACTCACCTGGAGTCACTGTAACCCACGACTCACCTGGAGTCACTGTAACCCACGACTCACCTGGAGTCACAGTGACCTACGACTCACCTGGAGTCACTGTAACCCACGACTCACCTGGAGTCACTGTGACCCACGACTCACCTGGAGTCACTGTGACCCACGACTCACATGGAGTCACTGTGACCCACGACTCACCTGGAGTCACTGTGACCCACGACTCACCTGGAGTCACTGTAACCCACGACTCACCTGGAGTCACTGTGAACCACGACTCACCTGGAGTCACTGTGACCCACGACTCACCTGGAGTCACTGTGACCCACGACTCACCTGGAGTCACAGTGACCTACGACTCACCTGGAGTCACTGTAACCCACGACTCACCTGGAGTCACTGTGACCCACGACTCACCTGGAGTCACTGTGACCCACGACTCACCTGGAGTCACAGTGACCTACGACTCACCTGGAGTCACTGTAACCCACGACTCACCTGGAGTCACTGTGACCCACGACTCACCTGGAGTCACTGTGACCCACGACTCACCTGGAGTCACTGTGACCCACGACTCACCTGGAGTCACTGTGACCCACGACTCACCTGGAGTCACTGTAACCCACGACTCACCTGGAGTCACTGTGAACCACGACTCACCTGGAGTCACTGTGAACCACGACTCACCTGGAGTCACTGTGAACCACGACTCACCTGGAGTCACTGTGAACCACGACTCACCTGGAGTCACTGTGACCCACGACTCACCTGGAGTCACTGTGAACCACGACTCACCTGGAGTCACTGTGAACCACGACTCACCTGGAGTCACTGTGAACCACGACTCACCTGGAGTCACTGTGAACCACGACTCACCTGGAGTCACTGTAACCCACGACTCACCTGGAGTCACTGTAACCCACGACTCACCTGGAGTCACTGTAACCCACGACTCACCTGGAGTCACTGTAACCCACGACTCACCTGGAGTCACTCTAACCCACGACTCACCTGGAGTCACTGTAACCCACGACTCACCTGGAGTCACTGTGACCCACGACTCACCTGGAGTCACTGTGAACCACGACTCACCTGGAGTCACTGTAACCCACGACTCACCTGGAGTCACTGTAACCCACGACTCACCTGGAGTCACTGTAACCCACGACTCACCTGGAGTCACTGTAACCCACGACTCACCTGGAGTCACTGTGACCCACGACTCACCTGGAGTCACTGTGACCCACGACTCACCTGGAGTCACTGTGACCCACCACTCACCTGGAGTCACTGTGAACCACGACTCACCTGGAGTCACTGTGACCCACGACTCACCTGGAGTCACTGTGACCCACCACTCACCTGGAGTCACTGTGAACCACGACTCACCTGGAGTCACTGTGAACCACGACTCACCTGGAGTCACTGTAACCCACGACTCACCTGGAGTCACTGTAACCCACGACTCACCTGGAGTCACTGTAACCCACGACTCACCTGGAGTCACTGTAACCCACGACTCACCTGGAGTCACTCTAACCCACGACTCACCTGGAGTCACTGTAACCCACGACTCACCTGGAGTCACTGTGACCCACGACTCACCTGGAGTCACTGTGACCCACGAATCACCTGGAGTCACTGTGAACCACGACTCACCTGGAGTCACTGTGAACCACGACTCACCTGGAGTCACTGTAACCCACGACTCACCTGGAGTCACTGTAACCCACGACTCACCTGGAGTCACTGTGACCCACGACTCACCTGGAGTCACTGTGACCCACCACTCACCTGGAGTCACTGTGACCCACCACTCACCTGGAGTCACTGTAACCCACGACTCACCTGGAGTCACTGTGACCCACGACTCACCTGGAGTCACTGTGAACCACGACTCACCTGGAGTCACTGTGACCCACGACTCACCTGGAGTCACTGTGACCCACGACTCACCTGGAGTCACTGTAACCCACGACTCACCTGGAGTCACTGTGACCCACGACTCACCTGGAGTCACTGTAACCCACGACTCACCTGGAGTCACTGTGAACCACGACTCACCTGGAGTCACTGTGAACCACGACTCACCTGGAGTCACTGTGAACCACGACTCACCTGGAGTCACTGTGAACCACGACTCACCTGGAGTCACTGTGACCCACGACTCACCTGGAGTCACTGTGAACCACGACTCACCTGGAGTCACTGTGAACCACGACTCACCTGGAGTCACTGTGAACCACGACTCACCTGGAGTCACTGTGAACCACGACTCACCTGGAGTCACTGTAACCCACGACTCACCTGGAGTCACTGTAACCCACGACTCACCTGGAGTCACTGTAACCCACGACTCACCTGGAGTCACTGTAACCCACGACTCACCTGGAGTCACTCTAACCCACGACTCACCTGGAGTCACTGTAACCCACGACTCACCTGAGTCACTGTGACCCACGACTCACCTGGAGTCACTGTGAACCACGACTCACCTGGAGTCACTGTAACCCACGACTCACCTGGAGTCACTGTAACCCACGACTCACCTGGAGTCACTGTAACCCACGACTCACCTGGAGTCACTGTAACCCACGACTCACCTGGAGTCACTGTGACCCACGACTCACCTGGAGTCACTGTGACCCACGACTCACCTGGAGTCACTGTGACCCACCACTCACCTGGAGTCACTGTGAACCACGACTCACCTGGAGTCACTGTGACCCACGACTCACCTGGAGTCACTGTGACCCACCACTCACCTGGAGTCACTGTGAACCACGACTCACCTGGAGTCACTGTGAACCACGACTCACCTGGAGTCACTGTAACCCACGACTCACCTGGAGTCACTGTAACCCACGACTCACCTGGAGTCACTGTAACCCACGACTCACCTGGAGTCACTGTAACCCACGACTCACCTGGAGTCACTCTAACCCACGACTCACCTGGAGTCACTGTAACCCACGACTCACCTGGAGTCACTGTGACCCACGACTCACCTGGAGTCACTGTGACCCACGAATCACCTGGAGTCACTGTGAACCACGACTCACCTGGAGTCACTCTGAACCACGACTCACCTGGAGTCACTGTAACCCACGACTCACCTGGAGTCACTGTAACCCACGACTCACCTGGAGTCACTGTGACCCACGACTCACCTGGAGTCACTGTGACCCACCACTCACCTGGAGTCACTGTGACCCACCACTCACCTGGAGTCACTGTAACCCACGACTCACCTGGAGTCACTGTGACCCACGACTCACCTGGAGTCACTGTGAACCACGACTCACCTGGAGTCACTGTGACCCACGACTCACCTGGAGTCACTGTGACCCACGACTCACCTGGAGTCACTGTAACCCACGACTCACCTGGAGTCACTGTGACCCACGACTCACCTGGAGTCACTGTAACCCACGACTCACCTGGAGTCACTGTAACCCACGACTCACCTGGAGTCACTGTGACCCACGACTCACCTGGAGTCACTGTGAACCACGACTCACCTGGAGTCACTGTGACCCACCACTCACCTGGAGTCACTGTGAACCACCACTCACCTGGAGTCACTGTGAACCACGACTCACCTGGAGTCACTGTGACCCACCACTCACCTGGAGTCACTGTGAACCACGACTCACCTGGAGTCACTGTGACCCACGACTCACCTGGAGTCACTGTGACCCACGACTCACCTGGAGTCACTGTGACCCACGACTCACCTGGAGTCACTGTGAACCACGACTCACCTGGAGTCACTGTGACCCACCACTCACCTGGAGTCACTGTGAACCACGACTCACCTGGAGTCACTGTGAACCACGACTCACCTGGAGTCACTGTGACCCACCACTCACCTGGAGTCACTGTGAACCTGGTGTATGGAATCAACGCTGGTTCTGCTGTGACGTTCTGGTTCTGAAACACCACAACAGTTCTCACAACTCAGGTTTCATATTTTTGTTCTCTAAGTCAAAAAAAAATAGGTTTCAGGCTGTTTACTGTAACTGTGTTAATTGGTGATTAATGGTTGTACCAGTTATACGATGGTTGTATTATTTTTATTGTCTGGTATAAGTTGTATATACACTCAGAGGTGTATTTCTCACAGTGTATATATACTGAATAGAGTGTAGCATTGCGACTGGTTCCAGTCATAACTCACCTAGTAAGGTCCCTGACAACTCCCCTAGTATGGTCCCTGACAACTCACCTAGTAAGGTCCCTGACAACTCCCCTAGTATGGTCCCTGACAACTCACCTAGTAAGGTCCCTGACAACTCACCTAGTAAGGTCCCTGACAACTCACCTAGTGTGGTCCCTGACAACTCACCTAGTAAGGTCCCTGACAACTCACCTAGTAAGGTCCCTGACAACTCACCTAGTAAGGTCCCTGACAACTCACCTAGTAAGGTCCCTGACAACTCACCTAGTAAGGTCCCTGACAACTCACCTGGTATGGTCCCTGACAACTCACCTAGTGAGGTCTCTGACAACTCACCTAGTAAGGTCCCTGACAACTCACCTAGTAAGGTCCCTGACAACTCACCTAGTAAGGTCCCTGACAACTCACCTAGTAAGGTCCCTGACAACTCACCTAGTAAGGTCCCTGACAACTCACCTAGTAAGGTCCCTGACAACTCACCTAGTAAGGTCCCTCACAACTCACCTTGTAAGGTCCCTGACAACTCACCTAGTAAGGTCCCTGACAACTCACCTAGTAAGGTCCCTCACAGCTCACCTAGTAAGGTCCCTGACAACTCACCTAGTAAGGTCCCTGACAACTCACCTAGTAAGGTCCCTGACAACTCACCTAGTAAGGTCCCTCACAACTCACCTAGTAAGGTCCCTGACAACTCACCTAGTAAGGTCCTGACAACTCACCTAGTAAGGTCCCTGACAACTCACCTAGTAAGGTCCCTCACAACTCACCTAGTAAGGTCCCTGACGACTTACCTGGTAAGGTCCCTGACAACTCACCTAGTAAGGTCCCTGACAACTCAGTAAGGTCTCTGGCAACTCACCTAGTAAGGTCCCTGACAACTCACCTGGAAAGGTCCCTCACAACTCACCTAGTAAGGTCCCTCACAACTCACCTAGTAAGGTCCCTGACAACTCACCTAGTAAGGTCCATGACAACTCACCTAGTAAGGTCCCTGACAACTCACCTAGTAAGGTCCCTGACAACTCACCTAGTAAGATCCTGACAACTCACCTAGTAAGGTCCCTGACAACTCACCTAGTAAGGTCCCTGACAACTCACTTAGTAAGGTCCCTGACAACTCACCTAGTAAGGTCCTTGACAACTCACCTAGTAAGGTCCCTCACAACTCACCTAGTAAGGTCCCTGACAACTCACCTAGTAAGGTCCCTGACAACTCACCTAGTAAGGTCCCTGACAACTCAGTAAGGTTCCTGACAACTCACCTAGTAAGGTCCCTGACACCTCACCTAGTAAGGTCCCTGACAACTCAGTAAGGTCCCTCACAACTCACCTAGTAAGGTCCCTGACAACTCACCTAGTAAGGTCCCTGACAACTCACCTAGTAAGGTCCCTGACAACTCACCTAGTAAGGTCCCTGACAACTCACCTAGTAAGGTCCCTGACAACTCACCTAGTAAGGTCCCTGACATCTCAGTAAGGTTCCTGACAACTCACCTAGTAAGGTCCCTGACAACTCATCTAGTAAGGTCCCTGACAACTCACCTAGTAAGGTCCCTGACAACTCAGTAAGGTTCCTGACAACTCACCTAGTAAGGTCCCTGACAACTCATCTAGTAAGGTCCCTGACAACTCACCTAGTAAGGTCCCTGACAACTCAGTAAGGTTCCTGACAACTCACCTAGTAAGGTCCCTAACGACTCACCTGGTAAGGTCCCTGACCATTGACGATCATTGACTCAGGAGATTCATTACCCCCACCATGTTCCGTCAGGATAAATTTATCCAGCGTTGGAACATGCAACCAGTCTTGCACCTGCAATAGCGACAATGTTGCAAGTTCAAGGAACGGGATTTGTGATTTGAAATCTGCAATTTGAGACTTTCAGACAGAAAGTCTGGGAAAAGATTTTTTTTAGCTAAGATAGGAAACAATTCTTAGGGGAACAGGAGTGAAAAACTGTCGTAAGTAATTTATATGTCACTGCCTCCTGTGTTATGTTCACTGCTGGGCCACTGCCTCCTGTGTTATGTTCACTGCTGGGCCACTGCCTCCTGTGTTACGTTCACTGCTGGGCCACAGTCTCCTGTGTTACGTTCACTGCTGGGTCACTGCCTCCTGTGTTACGTTCACTGCTGGGCCACAGTCTCCTGTGTTATGTTCACTGCTGGGCCACAGTCTCCTGTGTTACGTTCACTGCTGGACCACAGCCTCCTGTGTTACGTTCACTGCTGGGCCACAGTCTCCTGTGTTATGTTCACTGCTGGGCCACAGCCTCCTGTGTTACGTTCACTGCTGGGCCACAGTCTCCTGTGTTACGTTCACTGCTGGGTCACTGCCTCCTGTGTTATGTTCATTGCTGGGCCACAGTCTCCTGTGTTACGTTCACTGCTGGGTCACTGCCTCCTGTGTTATGTTCACTGCTGGGCCACTGCCTCCTGTGTTACGTTCACTGCTGGACCACAGCCTCCTGTGTTACGTTCACTGCTGGACCACAGTCTCCTGTGTTATGTTCACTGCTGGGCCACTGCCTCCTGTGTTATGTTCACTGCTGGGCCACAGTCTCCTGTGTTATGTTCACTGCTGGGCCACAGTCTCCTGTGTTATGTTCACTGCTGGGCCACAGTCTCCTGTGTTATGTTCACTGCTGGGCCACTGCCTCCTGTGTTACGTTCACTGCTGAGTCACTGCCTCCTGTGTTACGTTCACTGCTGGGCCACTGCCTCCTGTGTTACGTTCACTGCTGGACCACTGCCTCCTGTGTTACGTTCACTGCTGGGTCACAGTCTCCTGTGTTACGTTCACTGCTGGGCCACAGTCTCCTGTGTTACGTTCACTGCTGGGTCACAGTCTCCTGTGTTACGTTCAATGCTGGGTCAGTCTCCTGTGTTACGTTCACTGCTGGGCCACAGTCTCCTGTGTTACGTTCCCTGCTGGATCACAGTCTCCTGTGTTACGTTCACTGCTGGGCCACAGTCTCCTGTGTTACGTTCCCTGCTGGATCACAGTCTCCTGTGTTACGTTCACTGCTGGGCCACAGTCTCCTGTGTTACGTTCCCTGCTGGATCACAGTCTCCTGTGTTACGTTCACTGCTGGGCCACAGTCTCCTGTGTTACGTTCCCTGCTGGATCACAGTCTCCTGTGTTACGTTCACTGCTGGGCCACAGTCTCCTGTGTTACGTTCACTGCTGGGTCACAGTCTCCTGTGTTACGTTCACTGCTGGGTCACAGTCTCCTGTGTTACGTTCCCTGCTGGATCACAGTCTCCTGTGTTACGTTCACTGCTGGGCCACAGTCTCCTGTGTTACGTTCACTGCTGGGTCACAGTCTCCTGTGTTACGTTCACTGCTGGGTCACAGTCTCCTGTGTTACGTTCACTGCTGGGCCACAGTCTCCTGTGTTACGTTCACTGCTGTGTCACAGTCTCCTGTGTTACGTTCACTGCTGGGTCACAGTCTCCTGTGTTACGTTCACTGCTGGGTCACAGTCTCCTGTGTTACGTTCACTGCTGGGTCACAGTCTCCTGTGTTACGTTCACTGCTGGGCCACAGTCTCCTGTGTTACGTTCACTGCTGGGCCACTGCCTCCTGTGTTACGTTCACTGCTGAGCCACTGCCTCCTGTGTTACGTTCACTGCTGGGCCACAGTCTCCTGTGTTACGTTCACTGCTGGACCACTGCCTCCTGTGTTACGTTCACTGCTGGGTCACAGTCTCCTGTGTTACGTTCACTGCTGGGCCACAGTTTCCTGTGTTACGTTCACTGCTGGGCCACAGTCTCCTGTGTTACGTTCACTGCTGGGCCACAGTCTCCTGTGTTACGTTCACTGCTGGGTCACAGTCTCCTGTGTTACGTTCACTGCTGGACCACAGCCTCCTGTGTTACGTTCACTGCTGGGCCACAGTCTCCTGTGTTACGTTCAATGCTGGGTCAGTCTCCTGTGTTACGTTCACTGCTGGGCCACAGTCTCCTGTGTTACGTTCACTGCTGGGTCACAGTCTCCTGTGTTACGTTCACTGCTGGACCACAGCCTCCTGTGTTACGTTCACTGCTGGGCCACAGTCTCCTGTGTTACGTTTCAATGCTGGGTCAGTCTCCTGTGTTACGTTCACTGCTGGGCCACAGTCTCCTGTGTTACGTTCACTGCTGGGTCACAGTCTCCTGTGTTACGTTCACTGCTGGGCCACAGTCTCCTGTGTTACGTTCCCTGCTGGATCACAGTCTCCTGTGTTACGTTCACTGCTGGGCCACAGTCTCCTGTGTTACGTTCACTGCTGGGTCACAGTCTCCTGTGTTACGTTCACTGCTGGGTCACAGTCTCCTGTGTTACGTTCACTGCTGGGCCACAGTCTCCTGTGTTACGTTCACTGCTGTGTCACAGTCTCCTGTGTTACGTTCACTGCTGGGTCACAGTCTCCTGTGTTACGTTCACTGCTGGGTCACAGTCTCCTGTGTTACGTTCACTGCTGGGTCACAGTCTCCTGTGTTACGTTCACTGCTGGGTCACAACCCAGTAAGATCAACTACTACACCCACCTCCTCTCCCAGACTGTACAAATAGGCTGGTAGGCTGGGTACTAGTGCTGCACCTGCCCAGGGGTGCCTCATACCAGTGCTGCACCTGCCCAGGGGTGCCCCATACTAGTGCTGCACCTGCCCAGGGGTGCCCCATACTAGTGCTGCACCTGCCCAGGGGTGCCCCATACTAGTGCTGCACCTGCCCAGGGGTGCCCCATACAGAAGTTTAGTGGAGGTGGTTCACCCAGGTGGTGAGTGGTCCAGTGTTGGTATCTACTTCTCTAGTGTTGAAAGTAAAGTAGATTTGAGGCAGTGGGATGTCACTGCCAGACAGTTGTCCAGTCACTGTCCTCAGGACAGTGACTGGAACTACTGTCACTGTCCTCAGGACAGTGACTGGAACTACTGTCACTGTCCTCAGGACAGTGACTGGAACTACTGTCACTGTCCTGAGGACAGTGACAGTAGTTCACTCAGCCGAGAGCCCAACAGAAGACAGGAGATGACAGAGGATAATATAGCACTAGAGAAGACAAGACTATAATAGAAGACAATAGAGGATAATAGAAGACAATAGAGGATAATAGAAGACAATAGAGGATAATAGAAGACAATAGAGGATAATAGAAGACAATAGAGGATAATAGAAGACAATAGAGGATAATAGAAGACAATAGAGGATAATAGAAGACAATAGAGGATAATAGAAGACAATAGAGGATAATAGAAGACAGCCAACCCAGTTACAAGACTACATATACTCATTAATTATGAGTTAATAGGTATGATACTGTTGTTAACTTAAAGAGAGTCAGGCCAATCACTAGAGCCTGACTTTCTATACCATACACATGCAAATAATGGCGTCAACTCTCTCCTATTTGTCTACTTTCACCCATATTCTCATACATTATTAATGTCTTTTTCTGATCCAAGTCAACTCTTTTGAACAATATCAAATAATTGGTCTTAAATATCATAGTTTACCCTTTAAGACTAGTTTTCTGTTATTTTGAGACAGAAAACGCAGTATATTTAATGGGTATCTTTTGTATTTCAGGGAACTTGAGAAGACTTGAAATTAGTAACCCAGGACTTATTTCCAATAAGATCCATTGGATCAGAGAGGGGCGAAACGTTGAGCATGTTTCCTTAAACTTTCTGCTCCAGTTTACTTAGTAGTAAGTAGGTATCTGGGTGTTAGTCACCTTACACCTGCTGTCAATATTCACCTAGCAGTTAGTAGGTACCTGAGTGTTAGTTACCTTACGCCTACTATCACTGTTCACCTAGCAGTAAATAGGTACCTGGGTGTTAGTCACCTTACACCTGCTGTCACTGTTCACCTAGCAATAAGTAGGTATCTACCAGAATAACAAAAAAAGCCACAAACAGTGACATATTTCCACTGTGGTCGTCAACAGAGTACACAAAACACTCTACCTGAATAATATGCTGAGGAAGGTCGTAATCATAGGTGTTAAAGTTAGGGTCGTCTTGACGTGGTTGTCGTACAATAATGGCACCATACACACCATCACCTCTCTGCAGCCCTGTGTATACACCATACCTCATACATTCACTGTATACTTGTCCTCCTATCAAGATTATATATGTAGTGTGATTGTTGGTAAATCCAGTTGATAAAGATCAATATTGCATAGCAGGTAGGAAGGTCTCTCCTCCCGTCCCAGTAAAGCCAGAAGTCTCCCAGTCTCAGTAAAACCAGAAGTCTCCCAGTCTCAGTAAAACCAGAAGTCTCCCAGTCTCAGTAAAACCAGAAGTCTCCCAGTCTCAATAAAACCAGAAGTCCCCCAGTCCCAGTAAAACCAGAAGTCCCCCAGTCCCAGTAAAACCAGAAGTCCCCCAGTCCCAGTAAAACCAGAAGTCCCCCAGTCCCAGTAAAACCAGAAGTCCCCCAGTCCCAGTAAAACCAGAAGTCCGCCAGTCCCAGTAAAACCAGAAGTCCCCCAGTCTCAGTAAAACCAAAGTCCCCCAGTCCCAGTAAAACCAGAAGTCCCCCAGTCCCAGTAAAACCAGAAGTCTCCCAGTCTCAATAAAACCAGAAGTCCCCCAGTCCCAGTAAAACCAGAAGTCCCCCGGTCTCAGTAAAACCAGAAGTCCCCCAGTCCCAGTAAAACCAGAAGTCCCCCAGTCCCAGTAAAACCAGAAGTCCCCCAGTCTCAGTAAAACCAGAAGTCCCCCAGTCCCAGTAAAACCAGAAGTCCCCAGTCCCAGTAAAACCAGAAGTCCCCCAGTCACAGTAAAACCAGAAGTCCCCCCAGTCCCAGTAAAGCCAGAAGTCCCCCAGTCCCAGTAAAACCAGAAGTCCCCCAGTCCCAGTAAGTGATATTTGGAGGCAGTTCTTACATCCTTTATGTACATAGTTGCTCTCTTATTGAAGTCAGTTTACCTGGAGTTTACCTGGAGTTTACCTGGGTAAACTCCAGGTAAACTCCAGGTAAACTGATTTGAATATAAGAATATTTAGGAGAGCTTAATTCTATAATATTATTACTAATAATTATTTCATTATTATAAGTATTGAGTTAGTGTTAAATTTAACATACATGTTCCATACGTGTGTGTGTACTTACCTAATTTTGGTTGCAGGGGTTGATTCACAGCTCCTGGCACCGTGTAAAACTACTTACCTACGTGAGAATGGTAGTAGTAGGTACCCGCGTCAGGTACACGGAAGGAGTACCTGAAGTAGGCACCAGGGAGTATGGGACACTGTGTCAGGTTAGGGACACCATCCATGTAGGGAGTACCAGGAGTGCCATGGCCACGGAAGGACTTGACACCTCTCATGGTGACACCGTGCCAGTGTATCGTCAGTACCTCGTCCTCAAAGGAATTCTTAACGTCGACCACAACACGGTCACCCAGACACACCTGTAAGGTCAGGTATCATGCTAACACACCTGTATGTAAGGTCAGGTATTATGCTGACACACCTGTAAGGTCAGGTATCATGCTAACACACCTGTATGTAAGGTCAGGTATTATGCTGACACACCTGTAAGGTCAGGTATCATGCTAATACACCTGTATGTAAGGTCAGGTATTATGCTGACACACCTGTAAGGTCAGGTATCATGCTAACACATCTGTATGTAAGGTCAGGTATTATGCTGACACACCTGTAAGGTCAGGTATCATGCTAACACATCTGTATGTAAGATCAGGTATTATGCTGACACACCTGTAAGGTCAGGTATCATGCTAACACACCTGTATGTAAGGTCAGGTATTATGCTGACACACCTGTAAGGTCAGGTATCATGCTAACACACCTGTATGTAAGGTCAGGTATTATGCTGATACACCTGTAAGGTCAGGTATTATGCTGATACACCTGTAAGGTCAGGTATCATGCTGACACACACCTGTCTGTAAGGTCAGGTATCATGCTGACACACCTGTAAGGTCAGATATCATGCTAACACACACCTGTAAGGTCAGGTATCATGCTAACACACACCTGTAAGGTCAGATATCATGCTGACACACACCTGTAAGGTCAGGTATCATGCTAACACACATCTGTAAGGTCAGGTATCATGCTAACACACACCTGTAAGGTCAGATATCATGCTAACACACACCTGTAAGGTCAGGTATCATGCTAACACACCTGTAAGGTCAGATATCATGCTGACACACACCTGTAAGGTCAGATATCATGCTAACACACACCTGTAAGGTCAGGTATCATGCTAACACACACCTGTAAGGTCAGGTATCATGCTACCACACACCTGTAAGGTCAGGTATCATGCTAACACACACCTGTAAGGTCAGGTATCATGCTACCACACACTTGTAAGGTCAGGTATCATGCTAACACACACCTGTAAGGTCAGGTATCATGCTAACACACACCTGTAAGGTCAGGTATCATGCTAACACACACCTGTAAGGTCAGGTATCATGCTAACACACCTGTAAGGTCAGATATCATGCTAACACACACCTGTAAGGTCAGGTATCATGCTAACACACACCTGTAAGGTCATATATCATGCTGACACACACCTGTAAGGTCAAATATCATTCTAACACACACCTGTAAGGTCAGGTATCATGCTAACACACCTGTAAGGTCAGGTATCATGCTAACACACACCTGTAAGGTCAGGTATCATTCTAACACACACCTGTAAGGTCAGATATCATGCTAACACACCTGTAAGGTCAGGTATCATGCTAACACACACCTGTAAGGTCAGGTATCATGCTAACACACCTGTAAGGTCAGGTATCATGCTAACACACACCTGTAAGGTCAGGTATCATGCTAACACACACCTGTAAGGTCAGGTATCATGCTAACACACCTGTAAGGTCAGGTATCATGCTAACACACCTGTAAGGTCAGGTATCATGCTAACACACACCTGTAAGGTCAGGTATCATGCTAACACACCTGTAAGGTCAGGTATCATGCTAACACACACCTGTAAGGTCAGGTATCATGCTAACACACACCTGTAAGGTCAGGTATCATGCTACCACACACCTGTAAGGTCAGGTATCATGCTAACACACACCTGTAAGGTCAGGTATCATGCTACCACACACCTGTAAGGTCAGGTACATGCTAACACACACCTGTAAGGTCAGGTATCATGCTACCACACACCTGTAAGGTCAGGTATCATGCTAACACGCACCTGTAAGGTCAGGTATCATGCTACCACACACCTGTAAGGTCAGGTATCATGCTAACACACCTGTAAGGTCAGGTATCATGCTAACACACACCTGTAAGGTCAGGTATCATGCTAACACACACCTGTAAGGTCAGGTATCATGCTAACACACACCTGTAAGGTCAGGTATCATGCTAACACACCTGTAAGGTCAGGTATCATGCTGACACACACCTGTAAAGTCAGGTATCATGCTAACACACACCTGTAAGGTCAGGTATCATGCTGACACACACCTGTAAGGTCAGGTATCATGCTAACACACACCTGTAAGGTCAGGTATCATGCTAACACACACCTGTAAGATCAGGTATCATGCTAACACACACCTGTAAGGTCAGGTATCATGCTGACACACACCTATAAGGTCAGGTATCATGCTAACACACCTGTAAGGTCAGGTATCATGCTAGCACACACCTGTAAGGTCAGGTATCATGCTAACACACACCTGTAAGGTCAGGTATCATGCTACCACACACCTGTAAGGTCAGGTATCATGCTAACACACACCTGTAAGGTCAGGTATCATGCTAACACACACCTGTAAGGTCAGGTATCATGCTAACACACACCTGTAAGGTCAGGTATGATGCTGACACCCACCTGTAAGGTCAGGTATCATGCTAACACACACCTGTAAGGTCAGGTATGATGCTGACACACACCTGTAAGGTCAGGTATCATGCTAACACACACCTGTAAGGTGAGGTATCATGCTAACACACCTGTAAGGTCAGGTATCATGCTGACACACACCTGTAAGGTCAGGTATCATGCTAACACACACCTGTAAGGTCAGGTATCATGCTAACACACACCTGTAAGGTCAGGTATCATGCTAACACACACCTGTAAGGTCAGGTATCACGTTATTCTTAACTAATTAGATATGACATGACCTTCTCATACAATAATACACACAGCAAGCCTCTCATACAATAATACACAATAAGCATCAAAGTGGCCCGCTGGCCCGCTGGCCCGCTGGCCCGCTGGCCCGCTGGCCCGCTGGCCCGCTGGCCCGCTGGCCCGCTGGCCTAAAGGGGGCCGTCGGGCAACTGTAGGGCAAATTTCCGCGCGCGCTCACCCAAAAATCGAAAAATTATGGAAATTGAGTTATATATACCGAAAAATAGCTCAACTCTCTGGCAACACAATGGTGCCAGAATGAATGTTCTACGACGTTTGTACGAGAATTTATAGTCATTTATATCAGGTATGGTGACGGTGATGTTGGTAGCCAGTCTGCTCACGACCCATATATTTTTTGGAGTTTTTTCCTTGTTTTTTATCGCTTTTTCTTGCATTATTGTTTCTAATATAATAACTGACTATTTGGCATCATAAAACAGTAGGTGGAGCTTATACGTAGACTTAGTGCCAACCTGGCACCATCTGGGAACACTGGGCACTGTTACCGCTCCAGAGAGTGCCAGGAGAAATCACTTCATTATTACGCTTATATCAGCTTATATATCAACTCTACGGCTTATTTGTCTATCAGAATTGATCTAATATGATATAATAAACAGTATAAATAACATACAAACATGTTATATACTCTAGACTGAGTAAAATACGCCATAATATGGCGAGAGATTATCGGGAATATTTCGATATTATTGAGTTACTCCTCTAAATGTCGTATTCTTTGGTCTCTGAGTAAGAGAAAACGGTGTTTTGAAGAGGATAACTGCACTAGAACATCAGTTTACTAAGAAATACACCCAAACAAACGCGATTTTCGCGATTTTTTTTTTTTTTTTATGAGACGGGGGCCGGCCGGCATTCCCGGCCAATATCTCGCAAGTAACTTATTCACCTAAAGTACAAAGTGCTTCCTTTATTACTTAATTAAATGGAATAATATTCACAGAAATTGTAGAATAATGATTTCTCTTATTTCCACCGATGATTTTTTGGAAATATTCCAAATACTTCGGGAGTTATGTGGGAGTAAAGGGCAGATTTTTTTGCAATATTCCAGAAATTAACAAACTTTATTTTTTTGTGAAATAACGATAAGTTTATTTAGAGAAAAGGACTCGCCGAAAATAAGTACAAGCATTGTTCTCTGGGCACCAAGTGTCCACACAACCTTACGTAGTCCCATATAAGAGAAAATTGGGGCACAAGGGCATTTTCAGTAAATCAGTCTTTTCTCAGTTGTTGTTTGAGGTATATTTTTGATAAATATTTTCAGGAAAGAGTGAAAACACTTTGTCTTGTGTACCAAAACTGGAGGAAATCGGACGGTAAACAAAAGAGTTAAAATTTTGCCCGACAGCCCCCTGAAGCTCCCGCTTCACACACCGGGGTCGCGGGTTCGACTCCCGGCGGGTGGAAAACATTTCGACACGTTTCCTTACACCTGTTGTCCTGTTCACCTAGCAGTAAGTAGGTACCTGGGTGTTAGGTGACTGGTGTGGGTGGCATCCTGGGTGTTAGTGGACTGGTCTGGGTGGCATCCTGGGTGTTAGTGGACTGGTGTGAGTGGCAGCCTGGGTGTTAGTGGACTGGTGTGGGTCACATCCTGGGTGTTAGTGGACTGGTGTGGGTCACATCCTGGGTGTTAGTGGACTGGTGTGGGTCACATCCTGGGTGTTAGTGGACTGGTGTGGGTGGCATCCTGGGTGTTAGTGGACTGGTGTGGGTCACATCCTGGGTGTTAGTGGACTGGTGTGGGTCACATCCTGGGTGTTAGTGGACTGGTGTGGGTCACATCCTGGGTGTTAGTGGACTGGTGTGGGTCGCATCCTGGGTGTTAGTGGACTGGTGTGGGTCACATCCTGGGTGTTAGTGGACTGGTGTGGGTGGCCTCCTGGGTGTTAGTGGACTGGTGTGGGTCACATCCTGGGTGTTAGTGGACTGGTGTGGGTCACATTCTGGGTGTTAGTGGACTGGTGTGGGTGGCATCCTGGGTGTTAGTGGACTGGTGTGGGTCGCCTCCTGGGTGTTAGTGGACTGGTGTGGGTGGCATCCTGGGGGACAAGATTAAGGACCACAATGGAAATAAGTTAGACAGTCCTCGATGACGCACTGACTTTCTTGGGTTATCCTGGGTGGCTAACCCTCCGGGGTTAAAAATCCGAACGAAATCTTATCTTATCTTATCTTAACGTTATTAATACAAGCCTCTTACGTTCTACGTTATTATAAATGTTATGAATTACAACATTAAATCCTGTAGGTGACAGAGAGAACAGGTAATGTTATATGTGCCACAGCAGTGCCACAGCAGTGTCACAGCAGTGCCACAGCAGTGCCACAGCAGTGTCACAGCAGTGTCACAGCAGTGCCACAGCAGTGCCACAGCAGTGCCACAGCAGTGCCACAGCAGTGTCACAGCAGTGTCACAGCAGTGTCACAGCAGTGTCACAGCAGTGTCACAGCAGTGCCACAGCAGTGTCACAGCAGTGTCACAGCAGTGCCACACACGCAGTGTCACAGCAGTGTCACAGCAGTGTCACAGCAGTGTCACAGCAGTGTCACAGCAGTGCACACCCAAGCAGTGTCACAGCAGTGCCACAGCAGTGTCACAGCAGTGCCACAGCAGTGCCACAACAGTGCCACAGCAGTGCCACAACAGTGTCACAGCAGTGTCACAGCAGTGCCACAGCAGTGCCACAACAGTGTCACAGCAGTGTCACAGCAGTGCCACAAGTTTCACAGCAGTGCCACAACAGTGTCACAGCAGTGCCACAACAGTGCCACAACAGTGCCACAGCAGTGTTACTCACCTGTATAGTTGGTCCAGGCAATTGCTTGTTGATCACCAGGATGCGACGTCTCACACCGTCACCAGGAACACACTGAGGTCTCTCACAATCCGTTACGTTCCTGGGACAGTCGTAACACGCCCTGTCGTAACATATACAGTATCAGTTTACTTCATGACATAATAATAGGGAAGCAGTAAGCCCGTAAGGGCCTTACAGCGCCTGGGGAATAAGATGTAATCAATTTCTTAAGAATTAGAGCAAATATTGTGGTTGTAACAATCCACAGGACTCACAGTACTATGGTTGCAACAATCCACAGGACTCACAATACTGGGATTGCAACAATCCACAGGACTCACAATACTATGGTTGCTACAATCCACAGGACTCACAATACTATGGTTGCTACAATCCACAGGACTCACAATACTATGGTTGCTACAATCCACAGGACTCACAATACTATGGTTGCAACAATCCACAGGACTCACAATATTATGGTTGCAACAATCCACAGGACTCACAATACTATGGTTGCAACAATCCACAGGACTCACAATACTATGGTTGCAACAATCCACAGGACTCACAATACTATGGTTGCAACAATCCACAGGACTCACAATACTATGGTTGCAACAATCCACAGGACTCACAATACTATGGTTGCTACAATCCAGAGGACTCACAGTACTGTGGTTGTAACAATCCACAGGACTCACAGTACTGTGGTTGCAACAATCCACAGGACTCACAATACTGTGGTTCCAGGCAAGAAGTTTAGGTTCCAGGCAAGAAGTTTAGGTTTCAGGCAAGAAGTTTAGGTTCCAGGCAAGAAGTTTAGGTTCCAGGCAAGAAGTTTAGGTTCCAGGCAAGAAGTTTAGGTTCCAGGCAAGAAGTTTAGGTTCCAGGCAAGAAGTTTAGGTTCCAGGCAAGAAGTTTAGGTTCCAGGCAAGAAGTTTAGGTTTCAGGCAAGAAGTTTAGGTTCCAGGCAAGAAGTTTAGGTTCCAGGCAAGAAGTTTAGGTTCCAGGCAAGAAGTTTAGGTTCCAGGCAAGAAGTATAGGTTCCAAGGTGAAATGTTCGTCCAACTTTGATCGTCCTGTACAATAAATCTTCAAGAACAACAGAATAAAGGTCTGACCTGGACAGCGTCTGGTAGTCCTGAACATCGAAGTGGAAGTAGCAGGTCTGTGTGTGTCCAGGTACACATTTCCTGTAGCATGTTTTACCTGTCAAAAATACAACGAAAAATACACAATTGAAATCGAAATATATTACGTTTGTAAGCTAATGCATTACTCACATCACAACTAATTTAACATCTTCATTATGCAGCTCATACCCATCCTGTGGGCGGTAGTCAGAAGATTACAGAGGTACATAATGGGTCCAGGGTCTATATCTCAACATGACCGAGGTACATAATGGGCTCAGGGACTGTACCTCAACATTACCGAGGTACATAATGGGTCCAGGGACTGTACCTCAACATTAGAGAGGTACATAATGGGTCCAGGGACTGTACCTCAACATTAGAGAGGTACATAATGGGTCCAGGGACTGTACCTCAACATTAGAGAGGTACATAATGGGTCCAATGACTGTACCTCAACATTACAGAGGTACATAATGAGTCCAGGGACTGTACCTCAACGTTACAGAGGTACATAATGGCTCCAGAGACTGTACCTTAACATTACAGAGGTACATAATGGGTCCAGGGACTGTACCTCAACATTACAGAGGTACATAATGGGTCCAGGGACTGTACCTCAACATTACAGAGGTACATAATGGGCTCAGGGACTGTACCTCAACATTACCGAGGTACATAATGGGTCCAGGGACTGTACCTCAACATTACAGAGGTACATAATGGGTCCAGGGACTGTACCTCAACATTACAGAGGTACATAATGGGTCCAGGGACTGTACCTCAACATTACAGAGGTACATAATGGCTCCAGGGACTGTACCTCAACATTACAGAGGTACATAATGGCTCCAGGGACTGTACCTCAAAGTTATGATAGCTGAACTGGTTACAAAAGTACTGAATGAACTCCAGGCAGATCTGGTAACAATCAGAAGGAGTTTGTCAGCACCAGCGAGCACCGCAAGCACTATACATTACCATATAAATGACAGGGTTACATAAACACAGGAATTGCTGTAACCTTGAAATAACAAAGCAGAGCGGCCGTCTAGTCCCATTGTCAGTCATTTTGTCAATCACAAAATACTTTAATGTAACATTTCACTAGAATTCACTTACAGAATTACTTTTGTAGGAAAAATTATATACATTATCGTCTTCTAGACAGTATGAATATAGCTGTGTGGTACAATATAGCTATATCAATAATAACACTGCGACTAGCCAAGGACTCAAACCCGTGCTGCTTTCACCCGCCTCATGGTGAGGGAAAACACACGAAGCTCTAACCCACAGGACCACAAGAATCACGCTGTCCACAGGACCATGCAATCCTACAAGAATGACGCACCCAGCCAAGCTGGGTGTGTTACCGTCATCCGAGGACATACAGTGGTGTGGGTGCCTCTGATTGCGTGGTCCTGTGGGTTAGAGCGTCCAGTGTTTTTGCTGACCATGAGGCGGGCCAAAGCAGCATGGGTTCGAGTCCTTGGCTAGTCGCAGTGTTGTTATTGATCAATACCACTCGTTCGTGGTTACAATAATATATATATATATATATATATATATATATATATATATATATATATATATATATATATATATATATATATATATGTATATACGTAGTTGGACGAATCTTATTGTAGTCAGGTGGTCCTGTGGTTAACGCACTGGCCTGGAGTGTCACGGCTCACTTATAATGGTTCCAACCCCATCTGTACTGTAGTGTGTGTCTGAAAGTCCTGAGAATATAAGAATGACTGGAGAAAGTAGTGTTGTAACTATTGTGTGTGTGTGTGTGTGTGTGTGTGTGTGTGTGTGTGTGTGTGTGTGTGTGTGTGTGTGTGTGTGTGTGTGTGTGTGTGTGCGTAACGATACCAGATATAATTGCTAGAGATGTCAGGTAGTGATATCATTTTGTAATATTACATATTTAGGCCTACTGGCCTATGCTAGACAGATCTAACTCACATCTATTCTTGTACATGTCGAAGCTATGTTTTAATGGTATCCAACGTTCTTACTTCAGTTATTTTACTCGGGAATTATCAAATTATCGGGTTTCTAAATTATTTATCCACATCCTGGTGAATAATACAAAGCCCCAGTGGGTTAATAAGCCACACAGACTGGCTTTTCAAATATTATTTCTGAGAGAGCACCAGATTTATCTTCGACTGATCCCCTCAAACTTTTCCTGATGTTCATTATTCTTCTTCGTATGGGACTGATGAAGCCACCTAGCTGTTGCATACGTGTCAAATTGATCTCAGAACATCTGTATTCAACTTGTACAATCATTCCCGATGGAGTCATCACACCACAATCATCAATCTTCACAATCACCTGCATCATTGCGGCCTCAGTATTCGCTGATCACTGGAGAGTTAGGCACAACACAGCTTATATTTTGTTGTGGCAATGTTTCGCTCTCCAGGAAGCTTGATAAAAGCTCCTGGAGAGCGAAACGTTGCCACAATAAAATATCGTATTAGTACCACTTGTGTCCTTTTACGTAATAAGCGATACTCGGGACGAATTTATTACCCAGAAGGCCGTTCGAGTGCCGTACCGAACAATTTGTTCCCGAAAGAAAAAAGTAAATCGGATCCCCGAAAAAAACCTTACTAATTGTCGCATTCTGGGTGTTCGTAACCCGAGGTACCACTGTATATGTGGTAATTCTACGGGACATTATTAAATGCGAAGTTGTTTACTGGTGATTAACCCCAAAAATGAAAGTCACGAAAATCAGGGAAGGGCAGAGAAGACCGCAGACAGAGTACGGCTAGGGGCCAAAGACTGCAAACCTCACTCAGGAAAAGGATTTGGGTGAGTATAATACCGAGCATATCTCCTAAAAGGCAAATCAAGAAAACTGCCGCCTGGCAAACCTGAAAATTTGCGTTCCGATACCTGTAAGGAATCGTCAAGACTCTATACACGTACGTCAGGCCATACAGGAGTATGTAACACAGTTTGAACCCAACACGTGATCAACACGTCAAGAAATACAAAATGCAAAGGTTTGCATATTTGATACCATTAATACTATAATACATTATTTACTACATCATGTAAAGGTATACAAGTACATGTACAAGGTATACAATACATGTACAAGGTATACAAGTACATGTACAAGGTATACCAGTAACATGTACAAGGGTAACAAGTACATGTACAAGGTAAAGCAGTACATGTACAAGGATACAAGTCATGCAGGTAATACAAATACATGTACAAGGTAACAAGTACATGTACAAGGTATACCAGTACATGTACAAGGTGTACAAGTACATGTAAAGGTATGCAAGTACATACAAGGTATACAAGTACATGTACAAGGATACCAGTACATGTACAAGGTGTACAAGTACATGTACAAGGTATACAAGTACATGTACAAGGTATACCAGTACATTGTACAAGGTAAACAAGTACATGTACAAGGTATACAAGTACATGTGCAAGGTATACAAGTACATGTACCAGTATACCAGTACATGTACAAGGTATACAAGTACATGTACAAGGTATGCAAGTACATGTACAAGGTATACAAGTACATGTACAAGGTACACAAGTCCATGTACAAGGTATACAAGATACATGTACAAGGTATGCAAGTACATGTACAAGGTATACAAGTACATGTACAAGGTTATACAAGTACATGTACAAGGTATACAAGTACATGTACAAGGTATACAAGTACATGTACAAGGTATACAAGTACATGTACAAGGTATACATGTACATGTACAAGGTATACAAGTACATGTACAAGGTATACAAGTACATGTACAAGGTATACCAGTACATGTACAAGGTATACAAGTACATGTACAAGGTATACCAGTACATGTACAAGGTATACAAGTACATGTACAAGGTATACAAGTACATGTACAAGGTAACAAGTACATGTACAAGGTATACCAGTACATGTACAAGGTATACAAGTACATGTACAAGGTATACCAGTACATGTACAAGGTATACAAGTACATGTACAAGGTATACAAGTACATGTACAAAGTATACAAGTACATGTACAAGGTATACAAGTACATGTACGAGGTATACAAGTACATGAACAAGGTATACAAGTACATGTACAAGGTATACAAGTACATGTACGAGGTATACAAGTACATGTACAAGGTATACAAGTACATGTACAAGGTATACAAGTACATGTACAAGTATACAAGTACATGTACAAGTATACAAGTACAGGTACAAGGTATACAAGTACATGTACAAGGTATACAAGTACATGTACAAGGTATAAAAGTACATGTACAAGGTTAGTAAGTACAGGTACAAGGTTACAAGTACAGGTACAAGGTATACCAGTACATGTACAAGGTATACAAGTACATGTACAAGGTATACAAGTACATGTACAAGGTATACAAGTACAGGTACAAGGTATACAAGTACATGTACAGGTATACAAGTAATGTACAAGGTATAGAGTACAGGTACAAGGTATACAAGTACATGTACAAGGTATACAAGTACATGTACAAGGTATACAGTACATGTACAAGGTATACAAGTACATGTACAAGGTATACAAGTACATGTACAAGGTATACAAGTACATGTACAAGGTATACAAGTACATGTACAAGGTTAAGAAGTACAGGTACAAGGATACAAGTACATGTACAAGGTATACAAGTACATGTACAAGGTATACAAGTACATGTACAAGGTATACCAGTACATGTACAAGGTATACAAGTACATGTACAAGGTATACAAGTACATGTACAAGGTATACAAGTACATGTACAAGGTATACAAGTACATGTACAAGGTATAGAAGTACAGGTACAAGGTATACAAGTACATGTACAAGGTATACAAGTACATGTACAAGGTATACCAGTACATGTACAAGGTTACAAGTACATGTACAAGGTATACAAGTACATGTACAAGGTATACAAGTACATGTACAAGGTATACAAGTACATGTACAAGGTATACCATTACATGTACAAGGTATACAAGTACATGTACAAGGTATACAAGTACATGTACAAGGTATACAAGTACATGTACAAGGTATACCAGTACATGTACAAGGTATACAAGTACATGTACAAGGTATAGAAGTACAGGTACAAGGTATACAAGTACATGTACAAGGTATACAAGTACATGTACAAGGTATACCAGTACATGTACAAGGTATACAAGTACATGTACAAGGTATACAAGTACATGTACAAGGTATACAAGTACATGTACAAGGTATACAAGTACATGTACAAGGTATACAAGTACATGTACAAGGTATACAAGTACATGTACAAGGTATACAAGTACATGTACAAGGTATACAAGTACATGTACAAGGTATACAAGTACATGTTACAAGGTATACAAGTACATGTACAAGGTATACAAGTACATGTACAAGGTATACAAGTACATGTACAAGGTATAGAAGTACAGGTACAAGGTATACAAGTACATGTACAGGTATACAAGTACATGTACAAGGTATACCAGTACATGTACAAGGTATACAAGTACATGTACAAGGTATAGAAGTACAGGTACAAGGTATACAAGTACATGTTACAAGGTATACAAGTACATGTACAAGGTATACCAGTACATGTACAAGGTATACAAGTACATGTACAAGGTATACAATGTACATGTACAAGGTATACAAGTACATGTAACAAGGTATACCAGTACATGTACAAGGTATACAAGTACATGTACAAGGTATAGAAAGTACAGGTACAAGGTATACAAGTACATGTACAAGGGTATACAAGTACATGTACAAGGTTATACCAGTACATGTACAAGGTATACAAGTACATGTACAAGGTATACAAAGTACATGTAAAGGTATACAAGTACATGTACAAGGTATACAAGTACATGTACAAGGTATACAAGTACATGTACAAGGTATACAAGTACATGTACAAGGTATACAAGTACATGTACAAGGTATACAAGTACATGTACAAGGTATACAAGTACATGTACAAGGTATACCAGTACATGTACAAGGTATACAAGTACATTGTACAAGGTATACAAGTACATGTACAAGGTATAACAAGTACATGTACAAGGTATACAATAACATTGTACAAGGTATACAAGTACATGTACAAGGTATACAGACCATAGCTGACATACAGTGACATATCTACTATATAGAAAGTCATTGTTATGCTGAGCATTTCCCGCAAATTAGGTCAGTTTTGTCCAGGATGTGACCCACACCAGTCCACTAACACCCAGGGATGTGACCCACACCAGTCCAATAAACACCAGGATGTGGACCCACACCAGTCCACTAACACCCAGGATGTGACCCACACCAGTCCACTAACACCCAGGATGTGACCCACACCAGTCCACTAACACCCAGGATGTGACCCACACCAGTCCACTAACACCCAGGATGTGACCCACACCAGTCCACTAACACTCAGGATGTGACCCACACCAGTCCACTAACACCCAGGATGCCACCCACACCAGTCGACTAACACCCAGGATGCCACCCACACCAGTCCACTAACACCCAGGGACCCATTTCACACTGATGGGTGAACATGGACAGCAGACTTATGGAAACCCGTCCCTAATGTTTTCCAGCCGTTCCGGAGGAGATTCGAACCCCGGACCTCAGTGTGTGAGCTAAGTTCGCTAGCGATCGAGCTACGGGACAACCATTTTTAACAGGACTAACCAGGAATGAAGGGCTGACTGGCTGTGGTGAGGCAGACCAGTGCAGCAGCAGCAGTAATAACAGCAGCCACCGCAGGAACCACCATCGCAGCAGCAGATACAACACTAAACTGCCATACTGGAGCAATCACCACACTTATATACCTTCTGCCTCCGTCTTGCCTCCGTCTTGCCTCCGTCTTGCCTCCGTCCTGCCTCCGTCTTGCCTCCGTCTTGCCTCCGTCTTGCCTCCGTCCTGCCTCCGTCTTGCCTCCGTCTTGCCTCCGTCTTGCCTCCGTCCTGCCTCCGTCCTGCCTCCGTCTTGCCTCCGTCTTGCCTCCGTCCTGTCTCCGTCTTCCCTCCGTCTTGCCTCCGTCTTGCCTCCGTCCTGCCTCCGTCTTGCCTCCGTCTTGCCTCCGTCTTGCCTCCGTCTTGCCTCCGTCTTGCCTCTGCCCTGCCTCCGTCTTGCCTCCGTCCTGCCTCCGTCTTGCCTCCGTCTTGCCTCCGTCTTGCCTCCGTCGTGCCTCCGTCTTGCCTCCGTCTTGCCTCCGTCCTGCCTCCGTCTTGCCTCCGTCTTGCCTCCGTCTTGCCTCCGTCTTGCCTCCGTCCTGCCTCCGTCTTGCCTCCGTCTTGCCTCCGTCTTGCCTCCGTCTTGCCTCCGTCTTGCCTCCGTCCTGCCTCCGTCTTGCCTCCGTCTTGCCTCCGTCTTGCCTCCGTCTGCCTCGTCCTGCCTCCGTCTTGCCTCCGTCTTGCTCCATCTTGCCTCCGTCCTGCCTCCGTCTTGCCTCCGTCTTGCCTCCGTCTTGCCTCCGTCCTGCCTCCGTCTTGCCTCCGTCTTGCCTCCGTCTTGCCTCCGTCCTGCCTCCGTCTTGCCTCCGTCCTGCCTCCGTCTTGCCTCCGTCTTGACTCCGTCTTGCCTCCGTCTTGCCTCCGTCTTGCCTCCGTCTTGCCTCCGTCTTGACTCCGTCCTGCCTCCGTCCTGCCTCCGTCTTGCCTCCGTCCTGCCTCCGTCTTGCCTCCGTCCTGCCTCCGTCCTGCCTCCGTCTTGCCTCCGTCTTGCCTCCGTCTTGACTCCGTCCTGCCTCCGTCCTGCCTCCGTCTTGCCTCCGTCCTGCCTCCGTCTTGCCTCCGTCCTGCCTCCGTCTTGCCTCCGTCTTGCCTCCGTCTTGCCTCCGTCTTGCCTCCGTCTTGCCTCCTTCTTGCCTCCGTCTTGCCTCCGTCTTGCCTCCGTCTTGCCTCCGTCTTGCCTCCGTCTTGACTCCGTCCTGCCTCCGTCCTGCCTCCGTCTTGCCTCCGTCCTGCCTCCGTCTTGCCTCCGTCCTGCCTCCGTCTTGCCTCCGTCTTGCCTCCTTCTTGCCTCCGTCTTGCCTCCGTCTTGCCTCCGTCTTGCCTCCGTCTTGCCTCCGTCTTGCCTCCGTCTTGACTCCGTCCTGCCTCCGTCCTGCCTCCGTCTTGCCTCCGTCCTGCCTCCGTCTTGCCTCCGTCCTGCCTCCGTCTTGCCTCCTTCTTGCCTCCGTCTTGCCTCCGTCTTGCCTCCGTCTTGCCTCCGTCTTGCCTCCGTCTTCCCTCCTTCTTGACTCCGTCTTGACTCCGTTTTGACTCCGTTTTGCCTCCGTCTTGCCTCCGTCTTGACTCCGTCTTGCCTCCGTCCTGCCTCCGTCTGCCTCCGTCTTGCCTCCGTCTTGCCTCCGTCTTGCCTCCGTCTTGCCTCCGTCTTGCCTCCGTCTTGCCTCCGTCCTGCCTCCGTCTTGCCTCCGTCTTGCCTCCGTCTTGCCTCCGTCTTGCCTCCGTCCTGCCTCCGTCCTGCCTCCGTCTTGCCTCCGTCCTGCCTCCGTCCTGCCTCCGTCTTGCCTCCGTCCTGCCTCCGTCCTGCCTCCGTCTTGCCTCCGTCTTGCCTCCGTCTTGCCTCCGTCTTGCCTCCGTCTTGCCTCCGTCCTGCCTCCGTCTTGCCTCCGTCTTGCTTCCGTCCTTCCTCCGTCCTGCGTTCGTCTTGCCTCCGTCTTGCTTCCGTCCTGCCTCCGTCCTGCCTCCGTCTTGCCTCCGTCCTGCCTCCGTCCTTCCTCCGTCCTGCCTCCGTCCTTCCTCCGTCCTGCCTCCGTCTTGCTTCCGTCCTGCCTCCGTCCTGCCTCCGTCTTGCCTCCGTCCTGCCTCCCACAGGATACATACTGGACACATAATTATGAAGACAGACAGCTAGCAGTAAATGACAGCCTGACAGCTGAGGTTCTCATAATAGTCTCCGGATGAAAGACTGTCCTACTGTTATACTGTGTGGTACACTACACTGTTATACTGTGTGGTACACTACACTGTTATACTGTGTGGTACACTACACTGTTATACTGTGTGGTACACTACACTGTTATACTGTGTGGTACACTACACTGTTATACTGTGTGGTACACTACACTGTTATACTGTGTGGTACACTACACTGTTATACTGTGTGGTACACTACACTGTTATACTGTGTGGTACACTACACTGTTATACTGTGTGGTACACTACACTGTTATATTGTGTGGTACACTACACTGTTATATTGTGTGGTACACTACACTGTTATATTGTGTGGTACACTACACTGTTATATTGTGTGGTACACTACACTGTTATACTGTGTGGTACACTACACTGTTATACTGTGTGGTACACTACACTGTTATATTGTGTGGTACACTACACTGTTATATTGTGTGGTACACTACACTGTTATATTGTGTGGTACACTACACTGTTATACTGTGTGGTACACTACACTGTTATACTGTGTGGTACACTACACTGTTATATTGTGTGGTACACTACACTGTTATATTGTGTGGTACACTACACTGTTATATTGTGTGGTACACTACACTGTTATACTGTGTGGTACACTACACTGTTATACTGTGTGGTACACTACACTGTTATACTGTGTGGTACACTACACTGTTATATTGTGTGGTACACTACACTGTTATATTGTGTGGTACACTACACTGTTATACTGTGTGGTACACTACACTGTTATATTGTGTGGTACACTACACTGTTATACTGTGTGGTACACTGCACTGTTATATTGTGTGGTACACTACACTGTTATATTTGTGGGTACACTACACTGTTATATTGTGTGGTACACTACACTGTTATATTGTGTGGTACACTACACTGTTATACTGTGTGGTACACTACACTGTTATATTGTGTGGTACACTACACTGTTATACTGTGTGGTACACTGCACTGTTATATTGTGTGGTACACTACACTGTTATATTGTGTGGTACACTACACTTATATTGTGTGGTACACTACACTGTTATATTGTGTGGTACACTACACTGTTATACTGTGTGGTACACTACACTGTTATATTGTGTGGTACACTACACTTATATTGTGTGGTACACTACACTGTTATATTGTGTGGTACACTACACTGTTATATTGTGTGGTACACTACACTTATATTGTGTGGTACACTACACTGTTATATTGTGTGGTACACTACACTGTTATATTGTGTGGTACACTACACTTATATTGTGTGGTACACTACACTGTTATATTGTGTGGTACACTACACTGTTATATTGTGTGGTACACTACACTGTTATACTGTGTGGTACACTACACTGTTATATTGTGTGGTACACTACACTGTTATATTGTGTGGTACACTACACTGTTATACTGTGTGGTATACTACACTGTTATATTGTGTGGTGCACTACACTGCTATATTGTGTGGTACAATACACTGTTATATTGTGTGGTACACTACACTGTTATACTGTGTGGTATACTACACTGTTATATTGTGTGGTACACTACACTGTTATACTGTGTGGTATACTACACTGTTATACTGTGTGGTACACTACACTGTTATATTGTGTGGTACACTACACTGTTATATTGTGTGGTACACTACACTGTTATATTGTGTGGTACACTACACTGTTATACTGTGTGGTACACTACACTGTTATACTGTGTGGTACACTACACTGTTATATTGTGTGGTACACTACACTGTTATACTGTGTGGTACACTAACCTGTTATACTGTGTGGTACACTACACTGTTATATTGTGTGGTACACTACACTGTTATATTGTGTGGTACACTACACTGTTATACTGTGTGGTACACTACACTGTTATACTGTGTGGTACACTACACTGTTATATTGTGTGGTACACTACACTGTTATATTGTGTGGTACACTACACTGTTATACTGTGTGGTACACTACACTGTTATATTGTGTGGTACACTACACTGTTATATTGTGTGGTACACTACACTGTTATATTGTGTGGTACACTACACTGTTATATTGTGTGGTACACTGCACTGTTATATTGTGTGGTACACTACACTGTTATACTGTGTGGTACACTATACTGTTATATTGTGTGGTACACTACACTGTTATACTGTGTGGTACACTACACTGTTATACTGTGTGGTACACTACACTTATACTGTGTGGTACACTACACACTTATACTGTGTGGTACACTACACTGTTATATTGTGTGGTACACTACACTGTTATACTGTGTGGTACACTACACACTTATACTGTGTGGTACACTACACTTATACTGTGTGGTACACTACACTGTTATATTGTGTGGTACACTACACTGTTATACTGTGTGGTACACTACACTGTTATATTGTGTGGTACACTACACTGTTATATTGTGTGGTACACTACACTGTTATATTGTGTGGTACACTACACTGTTATACTGTGTGGTACACTACACTGTTATATTGTGTGGTACACTACACTGTTATACTGTGTGGTACACTACACTGTTATATTGTGTGGTACACTACACACTTATACTGTGTGGTACACTACACTGTTATATTGTGTGGTACACTACACTGTTATACTGTGTGGTACACTACACTGTTATATTGTGTGGTACACTACACTGTTATATTGTGTGGTACACTACACTGTTATATTGTGTGGTACACTACACTGTTATACTGTGTGGTACACTACACTGTTATATTTTGTGGTACACTACACTGTTATACTGTGTGGTACACTACACTGTTATATTGTGTGGTACACTACACTGTTATATTGTGTGGTACACT